TGTGGAGCTCAGGAATATTGGTATTGCAAATATTTGTTCAGGTGGCAATGCTATTCTGGAACCTGAGCTTTCTGGCTTTATTTGCCCTGATGCAAGCATGCTGCTAACACAGATGCTGTCTTCTCTTTTAGGCATTGGAAATGAGGCCCAAATCCTCAGAGGTGGGCAAATTCCTCATTGATGAAAATGTTCCTATAGACTTAGTTCCTACATTTAGAGAAATCTGCATTAAAACCAGAAGCTTGGGCTCCAGAAATCATTATTTGCTTGCTGTCCATGTTTTACTTCATGGTTTGAAGAGATGATCTGTTAGAAATCAGCACATCTACAGAAACTACTTGGTTCACCAGCTAATAAAAAATGATTAAGCATAATAATGACAAAGCAAGCATGAACGATATCATCTTGACATTTACAAAGCTCAGGTGTATTGAATAATAATTGTCTGCTATTTGCCTTGCAACAGCAGCTGAAGTAGGTTCCATGCTCCTGTTTATGGCAAAGAAACGGCATCACGCATACACACACGTACACACACCTATGCTGCTGTGTAAATAATAGTCAGATGGTATCTGGTCCTGTAGCCATTAATGGTCAGAAGGTGTTAAGAAACTAAAAAAAGATGGATTCATGCATTCCAACGACTGAGATTTTCCAGCTGCCTTTTTAGGTCAGCTCTCTACTCCCATTGCTCCTTGGAGTGTTTTGGGGCACTTATGGGTGCTTAGCCACCCACATGCCAAGTTCTCCTGATACACCTTGCTGTAGACAGCAACAAAAGCCATCCTCCCATTTTAAATGCTTTTCAAACTGTACATCCACTGGCTCATGAGGAGAGCTTTGCAAATGAGGCACTGGGCATGGAGTAACCAAAGCAACTTGGAAGTGATGTGTTCAGCACAACTTCAGATCTATGTACACGACCCAGTTGCTGCATCAGAATGGTGGAATAAATTGCATAGCATAAGAGTGTCTGTTGGTTCATTTATTACAGCTGCTATGCAGAAAGCTTATTGCCTCCCAGAAATGCTATTTGTGGATACTGTACATATGACAGAAAAATACCAGAGGGTCTTTATATAAAGCTTTCTCTCCTGTTAGAACAGCAGTCTTCCATATAAAGTTTGGTCTCTATGGGGATATTAAAGGTGGTGGTCAGATGCGCACAAAGACCAGAACTTAACCATGTTAGCTCCTCAGCTCTAACTTCTCGTCTCTGACCACACCTGAGCCAGCCCTGGGCGGAACAAGATACTTCAGGGCACTTGAGGCACAGAAAACAGGGTGGCTGGGCCAGCCCGGCTGCTGCTCCTTCCTCTGCCTGCCCTGCAAAGGCAGCCCCGCCGCAGCGCAGCACCACGCACTGCCCTCACCGCATGGTGAACCTCAGCATTGCATCTGCAGGTGCTCGAGCTCGCTTCACTCCCCTGCAAAGGCAAAGCTTTGCTGTGATTCAAGCCTTGTCTTGAACCATCCTGGGTATCATCAGGGGGACCAGGGGAGTATGCAAGAGAGAATACAGACCAAGACGAGTGACAGAGAGAGGAACTGGGTAGCAAGCATGATTGCTAACTTGCTTTTGAAAGGAAATAGCAACCCTTATGTGCTGCTACCTGATGAGCAAAGTCTACTAGAGTTGACTACTAGGTACCATCCACGAGCCCACTGGCTTATACTTTGCTACAGACAAGCTCCAAAGGGTTGAGGCCTTCTGAGGCTGCTGCACGCAACCAAGCGCCCTGCTGCTGCCCAACTCAGATGGCAACTTTGGTCCTGGAAACACCATCAGAGCTGCTATGCTTCTGCACTGGTGCTAGGTCTTTGCAAGGAGAAAAAGGAGCCAGGAAATTTTGTTTCTAAAACCGTCACTCAAGATTGTCCAGAACTGTGATTCCAAAACTTGTTTGAGGTTTGGGTGTGCTAGTTTTGGTCGTGGAGCTTGGTTTATACTTTTATTGATGCCTTCAGGGACTGAATCAAGCTGCAGTCAGCCTTTTCCCTCAATCTTGTTCGCATAAAGCAAGATCAAGATACCAAAAACTCTGTCTGGAATGTGGAAATCTATGGCAAAAAAATCAACCAGGAAAGCCTGCAACTACTGTGTCAGCTACTTAAGAAAATTAATCCACTGCATGATGGGCAAAAGAAAATTAATCCATTTCCAAATGGACGGGATACTTCAAAAGCTTTGGTAGATCTGTCAGGAGAGTAGATTTTATATGGTAAGGAGAAATCTGATCATTAAATAAGTGTCTGCAGAGGTGGCAGCTCCATCACAGCAGTTGAAATAGGAGCTCAGAAGTGTTTCTAGGTAGCTTTGGTAGACTTCAAATCAATCAAAGATAATCAATGTTTATTGGAGCCTCTGTTTCTGTTACAACTTAAGAAGTAACTGAAGGAAGACTGGAGCTGCTCTGAGCACAGTGTAGACCTGACCATAAGAAAACACCATTGGACAAAAAAGAAAAGCAAACCCCAGTCTGGAATATACAATCAGCCACATCTACAACAGGATTCATGTCTATTCATCTGCCACAAATTCCCTGTAAAGATGCCACAAAACTGTAAGTTCCTACTCTCCCTGATGCATATTCTGTTTTCCATTAAAAGGAATTAGGTAAAAATGGTTACATTTCTTCCCTTTCATTTTTTAAAAACTCTTCTCTGAACAACACAATACTTCCCTCTGTCTTTTGTTAGAACTTTGGCATCTCATGTTTACAAAGCATGAAGTGGTTTTAGCTAGAAAACAGGAGCTAAAGGTGATTTGAAGAATCATGCTGTGCTCTCTCATTATAGTAACTAGTATGGACAGTAGGGAGTGGTGGGTTTTCTCTCATGTGATAGCTGCAACACAAGACCTGGTGGAATAGGATCTGCTTTACAATAGCTAACTCAGCTCTATGGTAGGGAAAAAAATATTGGGTCTGCCTTATATAAGCAGCATAATGTTAACTCCAAATGGTGTCTTACCTTCTTGTAAGGTTTCAGACACAAACACATGTACAAGCAAGAAGTATGAGAAAACACTTCTGTTTTAAAAAAAAAAATTATCCCTACAGTTCAAAAGTTTATTACACTTTTGTAATCAATCTTTAGACATGAAGGGAGTGTAACAATTTAAAAATGTTTCAGGAAGTAACATATGGGTATGCACTCACTGTATGTTGTGACAAAATTCAAGGTAGTAAGTGGTAAATTTGCAACCATCTGTGCAGAACAAAATTACTCAAAAAAAGCAGTCAAGCAAATACTGCAAATAACCCATGACAGAAAAGTATCATAGAATCATAGAATGGTTTAGGTTGGAAGGGACCTTAAAGATCATCTCATTCTAACCCCTCCCTGCCATGGGCAGGGACACCTTCCACTAGACCAGGTTTCTCACAGCCCCATCCAGCCTGGCCTTGAACACTGCCAGGGAGGGGGCAGCCACAACCTCTATGGGCAACCTGTTCCTGTGCCTCAGCACCCTCACAGTAAAGAATTTCTTTCTTGTATCTAATCTAAATCCACCCTCTTTCAGTTTAAAACCATTACCCCTCGTCCTACCTCTACACTTCCAGATAGAATCCCTCTCCATCTTTCCTGTGGGCCCCTTTAAGTACTGGAAGGCTGCTCTAAGGTCTCCCCAAAGCCTTCTCTTCTCCAGGCTGAACAACCCCAACTCTCTCAGCCTGTCCTCATAGGAGAGGTGCTCTAGCCCCCTGATCATCTTCATAATTTGTGTTGAGACTAACATTTATTTTGACTAGTTGTGAATTAAAATTATATGTATACACAAACAAGCATTAGCATCATTGATCTGTATTGTCGAAACACATTTTGTTGCTGGCAAGGACCTTCACAACCATGAAGCGAAGTGAATAGAACTAAGAAAGTGACATCAGATTGCCACATAAAGTTTCAGCAAACATGTTTTAGCAGATTATCTTACTTAACATGTATTTCCCATGCTACTACACTCATGTAGCAATTCCATGCACTTCCGTGTTTACTTCTGGTACAATAATTTTTTGGTGCAAAAATAATACACAAAAAAAATGAGTCTAGTGTCTACAATGGGTTTAACAGGGATTAAGCAGTGTAGAGCTAACACATTAAGTGTCACCATAGCCGTATCTTTCTCTACAGTAATAGGATGAAGCAACATAATGGCATACTTGTACAGCAAAGTCAATACCGGATGAACCACACAATTGTGTTGACAATGCTGATTACCTGCTCTACCTTGCATTTGCAGTGATTAATTTCATATGAAAGCATCCTAATAATAGATGTTCAGACTGAGCTCTGCTATTACACAACAGGACAGTAAATTGGCCAGTAGGAGGTTTGGGTCTTGCTGAGAGATAATGACAAATATCTGTCAGTACAGCAGTCGGTCCATTTCTTCTTCCAAACAACCTAAAATTGTATATCCTGGTTATGCTCTTTGCATGGAGAAACCTGGACTGTCTTCTGTGTACCCAAAGGCTAACCTTTGGATCAATCAGTGGTCTAGTCTAATGCTGCTAAAATTTCCTTTAAATACTTCTGCCTGATGCACAGTAAACCAAATCAGCTAAAGCCTGGTCTATAGCCTTACTTGTAAGAATCTCTCTCCAGGCCTGCCTCCTTTTTCAATGAAATAAAGTAGGTAATCATTCACACACCAAATACATATAAACCTTACTTTTGAGACATATTTTCTGTTGTGAAATCTTAAAGTGTAACAGAAGTGGCATTGCAGTGCCTGTTAAGGCCTCCTGCAGCACTGATTACAACTCTTAAAACTTGGACCTTATAGTTTATGAGACTTTTGTCCTCTATTCCACTGTTGTCTGAATTATTTTTCCTTTAATTCATTCCTTCTGGGGCTTTGATCCTTCCACTCCTATTCAGACACAAGGCAAGAGCTTCTCAAGGGTATTATGTGCTGCTCAAAACCACTGAAAGTTCAGCAGGGCAGGCCATGTATAATTTCATTTAGGCTCAAACAGAACACAAAACTTCAGAAGCCTGTTCCAGTTGTAAATTTTATTCTAAAGGTGTCTTCTATACATTGTTTTATATAGAGAAATAAATATGAAAGGCCTATACAAATATGAACATTTGAAGAGTACCAACACTGCCCTTCATTTTTTTTTTTATACTCATCTTTCAATACTTAAAAGGGACAAAACTGCATCAAACAGCCCACATATTTAGTAAAATAATTTTTTTAAAAAAATCTCAGATCACAAATTCATTCATGTCTAACAAACCTTTTAGACTGAGTTTTGTTTTACATATACTCAATACGCAACCTCAACACAAAATATGTTCAGCTGCCTTTGAGAATTTCACAATATAGACTGATGCATATTTTCCTCACAATGGACAGTAAAAACAAAGCCATACTTAATACTCCAATGTAAGAATTTGGCATTATCGCTTTTAATGACATTGTGTTAACATGATATTTTTTTATAACATTCTGATAAATTAAAAAGAACACAATCTTGCCTTCAAATAAAACCCAAGCCATTTAAAAAAACCCTTCAGAATGGGCATTTGCTTTTATATAATATGATTCTTCCCCAAGTTTAAAAGATTTAATTCAACACCACATAAAATGCTTTTGATATAAAATAACATCATAAAGATAAGCTTTTTGCAAACCATAATTTATAGACTCTTTCCCATAAAGTGATATTTTTCTAACATAGAGCTTCATCCATATTCACTTATGTGATCTCACTAATTTACACATTGAAAAGAGTATAAAGCAAAGCATGTGCTTAAATAGTGGAAGGAATGGGTACTAAATTAAATACAACTGCTCTTTCTAAAGTTGGGGTTTTTTTCTTGTTTTGGGTTATTTTAAAGGTCAAACCTGAACAATACTGAAAGGAGATGACATAATATAGCAAAAACCTCTTTTGTCTTTCCTTAGGGAATTTGTCCTCATCCCAAAACTAGAGAGGTCCCAGATGTTAATTTAAGAATGGTAGATTAAACTTGCTGGCAATCAGAAGAAATATTTCAGATATTTCCTATTTTGACAATAAAAGCATAGGCTTTAGTTCAGAAAAAAAAAAAATACTGTAAGTGCACGAAAGCCCAATCCTGCAACCCTTTCCTGTTCATTCAATTATTTTCACTTAAGGAAAGCATATAGGATTTCCCCCTCACCCCCGATTTAGTAACTTACGTAAATAACCATGTTTGAAGAATATGGATGTTTAACAGTTTACACATATACTAGACTTAAAGAGTATTTGGGAAAGTCTATCCTGCTTTTCAAAAGAACTGCTACTTTTAAAAGGAGTGTTGTACTATTTTTTTTCTTTCCTGCCAAATAAACCTTTATGAGCTCATTACTAAAACAATACTCTCATATCCACTTAAAGTTCAAATGCTTGGCTAATTCTTTTAAAGGAAAATTTGCAGATTGACTGAGAAGTATACAGGACAAGTTTCTACTCAAGGGCAGATATCCAAAATGGCTTGGCATAGCAGCTGTATTGTAGGGCATCGGAGTGGTTTCCATAACAAACTTCCCGGGTTCACTGCAGTTCTCTAATCAATTTTGACTCCTCTAAACTTCTTCTGAGCTCACCCAGTAAAACTAAACACCATAGGTTTTGCAGGCATAGCTGGAGGTTCTGCAGGCCACAGAATATGTTTTCCAGCAGGGTGAGAGTAACAACCAAAAGAAAGCTTTCATAAATGCTGAACAGCATTAATCTGGCCTGTAAAATCTAGTTACAGAGATGATGATCAAGACAGTAAGACTCTAGCTCTAACATTCAGGTTAAAGAGCAACCAGGGGGTAGTGGGGATGGGAAGAATAAAACAAACAAACAAGAGACCATGTTCATAAACACTTGCAGTGTCATTTTTTGAAAAAAACACCTTCAACGTAGGAATGCATTTATCAAAAACTAAGCTTTGCCCCATCATGGATTATTTGAAGTATGGGTTCCTGAGCTTGATACTGGACAGGGGGAAGGGCAAGGGCAAGTGTCTTAAATTACACAGCAGTATCATTAGGACCATATTTAAAACCTATCATTAGAAGAATGAATAAATTACAAACATGACTTTAAGAATATTGTAACTAAATAGTCGTTTATTCAGAAGACCTTAATCTTCTTTCTTTTGTGTTTGAAATCGTTCCATTAAAGCCCTAAATATATTTCCTGGTATTTTCTGATGTTTTTCTATTAGAGCTTGGAGTGCTGCTTTCGTCTGTATGGAAAGAGAAAAGGTTTTGGTCAGATTAAGTCATCTTTATATTGTTCATACATTAACACAATTTCTAGGCTTTTTTTCATCCTTTCAAAATGTTGCAGAACTACTGCAAGTTCAAACTAATATTTTCCCATGTTTAAGCCCACAGGAGTTTTTGTGGCATCGCTGCCAAGAAGTAGACCAATAAACTAGTATCTTTTATCTCTGGTAGCTGTGTTCACAAGCTCTATTAGTGATACGCAATAGTAAAATGACAATGGAGTAAATTAATGAAGAGACCTAGATCTATAAAGCATGTCAGCACCTGTACACTGTACTGCAACTCAGAAACTTCTGCCTATGCCCAGGTTTGCATCAGTAACACTCTCCCAGTATGCAAGAGCCAAGAGCTTTGCTTCTACACATGCTCGGAAGCAACACTGGAACAACACAACTGTGTCTCAGCACGTTTGGCTCGTACAAAGTAATTATCCCAGCACCCAAGTCCCCTAAAGGATCTGGTCCTGTAAAGCACACTTAGACCATATCTAAAATACTGCATATGACAGCAGCATTCACTTTGACTCAAAAATGCAGAAGTTAATAGCAACCCTTCTTATTATATAAAAGCTCTTCGGGGAAAACATTCAAAACCAGAGCAATATGCAAAATCTATGGTGAGGACATGCCGTAACCTTCCTATTCTGCCTAGAGAAGCACAGGCAGCTGAATTCTTAAGGCCAGAGACAGAACTGAGAGCCATTTGCCTTTGTAAACCAGTGGTCAGCAAGGGGAAACGTGATTCTTGGTACAGCTCCCACTGTTTATATGAAGTGGCCTCTCCTGTTTAACATCTTTATTGATGATCTAGATGAGGGGATCGAGTGCACCCTCAGTGAGTTTGCAGATGACACCAGGTTGGGTGGGAGTGTTTATCTGCTCGAGGGCAGGGAGGCTCTGCAGAGAGACCTGGACAGGCTGGAGCCATGGGCTGAGCCCAACTGGAGGAGTTTCAATCAGGCCAAATGCCGGGGGCTGCACTTGGGCCACAACAACCCCCAGCAGGGCTACAGGCTTGGGGAGGAGTGGCTAGAGAGCTGCCAGTCAGAGAGGGACCTGGGGATGCTGATTGACAGCCGGCTGAACAGGAGCCAGCAGTGTGCCCAGGGGGCCAAGAAGGCCAATGGCATCCTGGCTTGTGTCAGCAATAGCGTGGCCAGCAGGGACAGGGAAGGGATCTGACCCCTGTACTCGGCACTGGTGAGGCCGCCCCTCGATTCCTGTGTTCAGTTTTGGGCACCTCAATACAAAAAGGACATTGAATGACTTGAGCGTGTCTGAAGAAGGGCAACGAAGCTGGTGCAGGATCTGGAGCACGGGTCGTACGGGGAGCGGCTGAGGGAACTGGGGGTGTTTAGTCTGGAGAAGAGGAGGCTGAGGGGAGACCTCATCGCCCTCTACAGCTACCTGAAAGGAGGGTGCAGAGAGCTGGGGATGAGTCTCTTTAACCAAGTAATAAGCGATAGGACAAGAGGGAATGGCCTCAAATTGTGCCAGGGAAGGTTTAGACTGGATATTAGGAAGCATTTCTTTCCAGAACGGGTTGTTAGGTGTTGGAATGGGCTGCCCAGGGAGGTGGTGGAGTCCCCATCCCTGGAGGTGTTTAAAAGTAGAGTCAGCATAGCACTGAGGGATATGGTGTAGTTGGGAACTGTCAGTGTTAGGTTAATGGTTGGACTGGATGATCTTCAAGGTCTTTTCCAACCTAGACGATTCTGTCATTCTGATTCTGTAATTGTTAAGCCCTGGAAGAAGGTTTCTGCCCACATCCCTTTATAGATGTAGTCTTAAGTGTCTCTACAGATATAAAATTTCTATTAGGTAAAAAAAATTGAGCTTATTTTTAATTAATTTCATTGGGAAAATGCATACTGTGCCATAGGCCAAAATATGATATACAACTTTAAAATCACTCTAACTAGGATTCTAGGGGATTCATATTCTAGAGCCCTTATCTAGCAGAATTTGCACTTAAGCCAGAAGCAAGTGAGGGTTGGCACAAATGTAGATGCCAAAGCATGTTTGAAAGTCATTTTAACAGACATTCTCTCCTGAAAGCAAACAGTTCTGAAGTCCTAGCAGACTGAACCCCCAAAAGAAACAATCAGTTTTCCATAACCAGGGCATAAGAAAATGCAGATGAACATTTTAAGATATCATTTTGCAGAGATCTAATCAGAAGGTAAACAGATGAGGAGAGATAACTGAAATGACACCTGCATGGTCAAGGAGAAAAATGTCTTTCTCTCAAGTGAAGTTTTGAGAATGCTAAAAGTGACCATCTGTAGAGCTTTCAGAAATGGCTATTTCAGCTCCCACCATCTGACTGCTCCATCACTTAACTGTTTTATGTCTCTGCACTGTGAAATCTATTAATAAACTGAATGAACATGAGGACCTGACAATCCTTGCTATAAACCACCTAAATCTGAACTAGGGGAACATTCAGAAGTTAATTTGTTGGGTGAGAAGCTAGATGAAACAGAAATGGAAACACATTGTATAAAGCAGTGAAATGATTTACCTTATTTTTTAATGGTATGGAATTTCAATAGTTTGTAACACAGATGTGCTATATTTGAAAGGCTTCATTAGTATCTTTCTGAAAAGACCAAGAACCAGAACAATTTCTGTGGGTGAAGTGCTTATGTCTTTATCAACCCAGGGCAGTCTTATCTGACTGGATTGCTTCAGTCCCTGAAGCAAATATAGAGTGTAGTATTGACTTTAAAAGGCCTAGAACATCTGCAAGGTGTAGTAATAAAAAGACAACATTTAAGAAGGGCATTCAGTTAAGTAAGTTCAAAGCTTACCATGATTCCACCAACTTGTGTAACTAGCCCCGAGGCAGAAACCACTTGATAAGAATATTCCAGTGTTTTCTATCACAACAGTGAATATATTAAATATATACATATATATCTATCTTACCTTTGCAGTCAGTTCCTCAGCAGTTACATTTGGTTCATATGGAATGGGTTCTCCAATAAATGTACGAAGCTTAACTGGAAATCCACCATACATAGGAACTACTGGCAACCTAATACGTTCATATAGTGACCTAAATATTTCTAATGTGAAAAAATTTAGGGGGAAAGGGGAAAGCAGCAGAAAGAGAGGGAGGGTGGGAAGGAGAGAAAGAGAAAAAGAGAGACTGAGATTATTCTGTAAATTTTTTTTCCCAGTAAGTCTTAAAACTAGAACTGTCTTGTCAAGTAATCCAACCCCTGACCCAGATTCTCAAACAATGTGTCATCTCAAGTGCTATTCTACCCTTAACTTTCATTTCCTAAAAGCTGTGTTAATGCTAACATCAGACCTGTTTCAACCCTAACGGTGTGAAATCTCTCCTCCAAAGAGTAGCTGCAAAGAGAAGGAAGAAGAAGAGAAAAATCCAGTAGCTGTCTCTCTGCAGAGGAAGGGAATGCTACACAATACAGGTTACAGTTCAGCTAATTTTACAGGTTAGCATAAGAAACTAGTACTGGAAGACTATTCTGTTCGGTACTGCTGAGGTCTAGAGTATCAGAAATAGTCTTATCTGTCTAAAGGCCAAGCATGCTAAAAGACTGAATTGCTCTTTCAGATCACGCACTGGTTGCAGTGAAACAGCATGAAGAGAGAGAAAAAACAGCTATTTCTATCAGCTCTAAGAGGACACATCTTTCCCACATGCCACCTTCCAAGCATCTAGCCCAAATGCAACCAGAAAAATTCCTTGCAGAATGGGTGCTAATATTCTCTCTCTCAATTTTAGACAAGAAATTTCTTTGAGGTGTGGGCACACGAAAATCCTTACTGACCAAGATATGGAATTTTCTGTATACAACCTGTAAGAACAAAGAATATTCCAAAACTATTGAAACTAGAGTAATGTCTCCAGTGATCAACAGAATTCAATTCCTCTAGCACCTCTGCTGTAGAATATAAGTAGCATGAATGATTTTGGCTTAAATTTCTGCTTGTCTGGGAAGATTCTCCTGAACACAGCACCAATTAATTGCTGTTTATTTTTGTACAACCTGACGAACGTGTGAATTATTCTGTGTGTCTAAATCGGATGCCTTGGCTTTCTCTGTGCAATATATAGCTTTTAATCAGAGGGGGAGAGAAACACAATTGGTTTGTCTGCAATCCTCTGATGAAGTTGATGATGCCATACTTGAGGCAGAACATGCAGCATGGAGAAGACTGTTCAGGCCCTTTCTGCTAGATAGTAAATTGGAGAATATAAAAAAAGGCGGGTTAACACTAGCAGATCAGCAGAGATGTGGGCATCTAATCATCGCAGAAGTGATGGAGGCATACCTCCATCTATTCATGTGCTGGCTCCAAGTCCCACAAAGATGAGGAAAGAGAGCAGGTAAATGCAAGGTTCTGTGAAGAACCACTGATCTAGTGCTGAATAGTAAAACAACTACAGATTAACTATATTTCAAACTATTCAAAGGTTAAGTACAGGTAAAGGTGTAAGCACAGAGTTTTAGGAGTACGTTTAAAGAAATTACATGTCAGTTGCAAACCCCTGTGGTACTTTGCTTCTTAACAGACAGAAAACCTAGAGTTGGCCTAGAAGATATAAGCAGAGAAAAAAAGTGCTCTAAATCTATCTGCCTTTTTCTGGCTCCTTTCTTCTACTGCTTCTGTGAAGGCACACTGTCATGTGGAGAATAACTTGGATGAGCCAGTACCACATCTAATGCTGATATTAAATCCTCATATCATCTCTGAACTTTACTGGAGAACAAAGCTCCAGAAATAATGCTGCGTCAAATCTCAAATTTATATGGGGATTATTTCTACAGAGATAAGCTGAACACATATGGAAAAATAAACTACAAAAAAATAGAAAATATCTTACTTATTCCTCCTAATGTCCTAATGCCTTCTCGAACATTTTGTGTAAACATAGGAATGATGGGCTAGGAGGGAAAAAAAAATAAAGAATTTAATGAAGATAGCACTATCTAAAAAAATTCTACCTCACTTAAATCCAACATGTAAATCAATTTCAGAAGTGTTTCTCAGACAAGGACATATAGAGCGCAAAACAAGTATTCTTAAATTCTTCTGCAAACGTCTGCTATAAGGTTTCAAGCTGGAGAATACCATGAAACTTCAGTATCATTGTTATAGCAAGTCCATTTTCCTCAAAACAGTCCAGGATTTCATAACTTATGGAACATTTAAGCCTCCCCTCAAATAGCAGCATTTGCACAGTTGTGACTTAAACGATTAAACGTCTTACCTAATTTGTAGTTATGCTCAAAGGGAAGAATTCACAGGATTGTGACCCTAAACTCATCTGCTATGCTGATTGTATTACTTCACATATGATGGCTCATATTCAATACATGTCCATGATTTATTTCTGCTGATGAATATTTGGAACGGTGTTGAATATTTCAAGTTTTTATTGCTGTGTTTGAACTTGCAAACAGCTGTCGGGGGTTGACTACTACATAAAGCTTTTTAATATCACTCTATAGTGTGTACTCACTGCACGTAGCATCCATACAGACCTCTTCATGGGATTTTCAAACGTTCAGATTTTTTTTTTTTTTTATTATTACAAGCATGGAGATGAGCTAGTAAATGAAACTTTTCAGACAGGTATCAAGTTTGGGGTTTTGGAGACCGGGGCAGGGTGGGAAGAGTCTGTAAATAATCCAGTGCAACTATAGAGAATGCAAAGAAATACAGTTGGCTAAACCAAATGGTAACAAACTTCTTTTTATTTTGGAATCATCTTATTTGGAACATCTTACTTTTGACATAGAGGTAGAGATTTTTATATGTACCAAGTTGATTTATATGACAAAAATTCTGGCAAACTGCTGAAATGAGACAACTTCAGGAAGTTGAAATTCCCAGTTTTAGACACATTTTTCTTTCCATGAGGAGTTCTGCTCACTATTAAAGGTGACTTAAAGGTAATCTTTAATCTAAAGAGATTTTCCCCACTTTCAGCTTGCCTAGGACACTATTCCTTTTCTACTGCACCTCTCAGGGTTTTTTTTGAAGAGGGGGATGAACATGCAAGACCTGTGTGAGTGCATAAAGGGAACTAAACACACATTTGATAAAATAAATGTTATTAGTACAACCATCACTGAATCCCAAGTATGGCCTTTCATATGCTATTACAATACATTAGTAAAATCTAAACCTGTCCAAAATATCCTGTTTAAACAGTATTATTTTCCTCTTGAGAAAAGTGACATACACTTAAAATTGGGTCTTTAAAGCACTATATTTCTGTGTAAAATCAGAGATTTAACTAGTCTCTCTTTAACAGTACCTAAATATAAAACTCTTGGTGTGAGACTTCCCTTCAAATTAGGTATATGCAGACCTATGGACATATGCACACATCTTTCAAGTACAAATATAGACTGAGAGGGACTCTGAAATGATTATTAAAATAGTTACAATTCAAATATATCATACACTTATGCACCTTCCAATAATTACCTGTTGCTGACCAAGAACAATGTTATATATTAGAACTGAAGAGTTAGTTCACACTAGTGAACAGCATCTCCTGCTGCTGCTGTATGCCCCAGGCATTCCTTACTACCATAAAATGCCAATACAGTACATATTGCCAGTGAGACTATACTGTGTTGGGTCACAGGATACTTGAGCAATACTGGAAACAGAAATGTTGATGCACAGTTGCTTCTGAACCATTCTGATCAGGGGTTGGGCCATCACAATCCTGACCAGGTATGTGCAAAACAGCACAAGCTTGTAATGTAGAAACTATCCTAGATTTCACCTCTCATCCTTTTAAACTCTGGATTTTCTGACCACACTATTCTTAGCTGACTCCAAAGCCTTCTTGAAATGTAGACATGAGAGCAAGCAGACCACACTCACAACATTCACCAATGTAACACCAAATATATAATAATCAAAACAGCTCTCCCTGGAAGAAAGTACTAATAAGTTAGTATTCTTTGTTTCTCTTCTGTGATCTGTCATACTTACCACTTTTGCATCAATGGCTACCTGAGCAAAGCCCTTCCGATTACCCCAGATAATTGTATACATTTCATCACTAAAGAGTGCTTCCCGAACTCCACCTGGGGCAATGGCTATCAGGTAGCCCTTCTTCAGAGCTGTGACACATTCTTCTTTTGGTCCATGCATAACTCCATGTACATCAAGCAATATTTTAAAACCTGTAGAGTAAGATAATATTGAGAAATTGTTAATTCATACTACCACTGAGTACAGATTCCCAACACAGAACAGAATGGCTAAAACTTACTTGTTTAATAGCCTGTAACCCCGAATCAAAGATGTTTCTAGAGAGACTGAAGCATTAAGTCCTGAATGAATTTTAAGTCCTTATGAATTTTGGTCTAAGATGAGTATTTAGGGTTTTCAGTGGCTTTTTTGTCATAGTAAAGCCAGGTGCTATCTCACAATCAGGACTAAACTGGAAAAAACTGGCAAGCAGTCTGTGACATGTGTCCCTTCAAAGGAGTTGTCAAGTTGGCCCCAGGACACTGGCTCTTTGCTCAAGCTCTACTTTTCAAATGTAGTACAGTCCTAATAAAGGGCAACAAGAGAAAATACCAGCAAATTGTTGTGATTGGCAAACAAAGAGCAGTCTGTGCAGAAAAAGCAGACTGACAAAGAAAGTGCAGCATTCTCTGTGTTACAGATCACTGCAGGAATTGACTCCCTGGTTCAGTCTGTGAGTACCTGGACAGCTTTCACACAGAGTCATCGTGAAAGCCTGGATTTGGTATATTCATCTACGGCTAAGATTTTTCATTTACTGAATTTTTTAACTGTAAAGTTATGTAAACTCCTCATATCAACTTGAATTTGAAATGTCATACTGACCCGACTTTTCAAGAACAGCAAAACATCCAAAATTTGCTTACAAGCACCAAATGGGCACGTATCTGATCTATTTAGCCAACTAGTCTAATGTGAAAGAACATAACTAGCATAAACCTCCATTTGCAGGAAATCAATCATGTTCACCTGGTTCAATAAATCTTAAATTTATACAGTATTTATGAATACTGCATACCAAAATAGGAACTTTAGATGACTGAGCAGTATGGGAAAGATTATTTCTCTTTAAGTTTCCCACTGAGGCAAACAACCTTATCAGTCATAGACAAGGACACAGAACTGATCTAGTGAAGTTTGGCCCTGAATAACAGATCTTAATTTTTAACAGATTAACAAATGAATAGTTGTTACTATGAACACACATTTGTTACATACATGCACGCACACACACACACACAAGTGTTCAAATATAACTAAGAGGACAGAGATCTGTCTTCTCTTACAGCCCACATACTAAGGTCTTGGGGAAGGAGAACATGAGACAGCATATCATTAGTTTAGTCTTGACTAAACTCTGATTTCTAACTAGTCTTTGTAGGTGGTGCGAGTATAATTACTCCTCATTTATATTTATCTATACACAATCAGGATCTGTCTATAAACATGACAACAGAACACAAGCTGCCTTACATCTGTCTCATTCTGCTGTGCCTGCCTTGCACACTGCTGACAACCTGTAATTTGTAATACAGAATAGCAGTGGGGTCTTCACAAGTCTTCACAAAATTTCTCAGCTGTATTTCCCCTCTTGACTTCTAGTATAAGTCTTGTATTCTGAGCTATATCTCACAGCCTAGCCGGCGGGTCACAGGTTACTATCAATACCACTAATCCAGCAGCACAGAGGAAGAACCTGGCTCTATTGGAACAGCAGAGAGACAGGAAATAGTGCAGTGGCCCTGAAGGGACAACCAAGGTACGCTGTGCCCAAGGCAATGATCATCATGGAGTCAAAAGAAACACTAGGGTAGTACCTGGCTAATGCATTAAAGTGTCCAAGAATCTATTTTTCCACTTTAAACAATAAACACCTCTCAAAACTATCACAACATGGGGTTTTTGTCTTCCAGAGCAATAAGGGATGCTAACTTTTTCCAAATACCAAGTCCAATATTAATTTTATTCCACAGTTCAATCTGAACTCTGCCCTTTGCCCCAGAACACTTTTCCTGTTTTCTACAACACTGTGCCCCTACTGATGTTTGAAAGGGGAGAGTACCCAGTAATGCATTTAACATTTATCTCAATAAGTGCTCTCTATATATTTCTCTAACTTAGCCCCAGTGACTGTAATATAGGGGCTGTCAGCTACCTGGTAGCAAGATGGCAAGGATGTAATCTTTTTCCTGCGGTTGACCTTTAGGATCAAAGAGGAATAATTTTTGACCACTAAATCCAACCTTACACAATTGTAGGTAACTATGCTAGGTAATACGTATGTTACGTAGGTAACGTGTATCTGCAGAACATCTAGTCCACAAGACACTCTGCAACACCTTGTGTATGTAACAGACAGGAAGGCACAACTCCTTTCCTCCAGGGCATTACAGGAGAGGGACTGTCTTAGATGCCTAAAATAGCAGGCAACCTTTTAAAGAGGAGTTCCAGATGACACTGGGAAGCAGACATGGCCTGTACTATATAGGAGAGGGTGATGGAGAAGAACACAAGTGTAATCTCAGTCCTCACTGCACTCTTTGAGAAAAGATTTTCTCTTAATTCAACCTCAGAAAAATCAATTGATTCCTGAGCATTACACAGCTAAGAATCTAAAAGAACCAGAATCCATTGGAATGTGGGGGATGGGGTTTTTTTTTTCATGACTTATTTGAAAGAAAACAGAATAAAAGAAGTCACAGGACCACATTTCATATGCTTCTGCCCCAAAATGCAAGCAACAGAAGCATACATAGTATCGATACAGTATAAACTGAGACAATGAAATAATTTTCTTTTGCACTGATGTGAAAGAAAGATGCATTAGGCAATGTTCAATAGGAATCTCCTGATATCTATAGAACTCCTATTAGGTTAGATTCCCTTCCATAAGTTATCAAGCTGTATCTTTCAAGACTAAGCAGTAGGGAGAGGCACATTTGACCCCTTGCTCATGCATCCCTTAGGAGGCAAAGCAACATTTTACAAACACACTCCAGTTAACTGCAGTTAATCCAGGACAGCAGTACCCAACACAGAGGATGCAATGAGCCTGCACACTGGCAACTGCATACTGGCATGGACCTGAGATTCAGATTCATGGGACAAGACATTCCTCACAGCTATTCATAGTAGATTCAATAACCATAAATACAGAAGGACCATTAAATCATCTAATCTAAGTGTGTCTAACAGCCTACAGACTCCTCAAACAAACCCCTCACCCACCTCTTCATTTTCCTGCATTGAGCATAATGACTTTTGGTTAACTAAAACATCTCCTGAAAAGGCAACCAATTTAATCTGAAGACTTAATCAAGATCTTAGTACTAGGATAATATTACAGCGGTCTTTCTGGTTTGACTCACAAGAGAAGTTGCATCTATCTGGGTTGCCAGTCATAGATTATTGTGCAGATTTTGAAACATTATCTGGGCTCTTTGGGTTTATCTTCCCTGAATAGCCTTAATTCATTCACAGAACCAGAGAATTATGTAGTTTGGAAGGGACCTTTGAAGGTCATCTAGGCCAACCTCCCACTCAAAGCAGGTCCAACTATATTAGGCTGCTCAGGGCCTCACCCTTCAGAGTTTTGAAAATCCCAGGAATGGAGATTCCCCAACTTATCCAGGCAATCTGTTCAAGTGTCTGATCACCCTCATGGTAAAATACCTTTCCACACACCTAATCTAAATTTCCTGTGTTGTAACTTGTCTCTGTTGCTTCTCATTCTATTGCTGGGCACCTGTGAGAAGAGTGTGACTTGCTCTTCTCTGCACCCTCCCGTTAGGTCACTGAAGACAGCAATATCTTCCCCCACTATTGCCTGGTACAGACCAAACAAATCCAGTTCTCTCAGCCTCTCCTCAAACACTGTGTGCTCCAGGCCCCCATCATCCACTGAACACACTCTAGTGTGTCAATATCTGTCTCTTACTAGGAAGTCCAAAACTGGATACCATGTTGTGAGATATGCTGGCACAGGTACCAAAACAAGAGAAAAAAACCTCTTCACCCAACCTGCTAGCTGCACGCCTGCTAAAAAAAAAAAAATAAAAATGTCAGCACGCAGTTCATCTTTGCTGCAAGGGCACACCACTGACTCACGATCAACTTGTCCTCTAGGATGCCAAAGTCTTTTCCTGCAAAGCCACCTTCTACCCAGGGTACTGTTGCATGGGATTGCTTCATCCTAGATGCACAACTACATTTGCCTATGCTGAACTTTGTGATGTTTCTGCCAGTTCATTTTTGTGAAGGCATTCTGAATACCAGCTCTAACCCCCAGTGTATCAACTGCTCTCTCACTCTGATATCGTCAGTGAATTTCCCATGAGCATGCTCCAAGCCCTCATGCAGGTGTGCAATAAAAACATTAGGCAGCACTAGTCCCCGTATCAGTCCCTGAAGAATGCCAGTAGAAACCAGCTGTTAGTTAGACATCGTACTGCTGAACCCGATTCATTGAGACCAGCCATTCAGCCAGATACCTCTGCAGTGCTACTAAATGATATCTGGAGCACTCATAAGTATACTTACATTTAGAACCTTATTTTAAAGCATAAATGAAGAAAACCACAATAATCTCCCATTTGATAAACAACTGCGCATAAGTATTAATAGATACAATATGGAGCTAAATCTAAATTACAAAATAAGTTACATTAGTCAGCTGTATGAAAAAGATTTGATAACTGACAAATCCTACTCTTGGCGAAAGCAGTTGTAGAGGCAAAGCCATACTGTTATCAATATGAAGAAGTTTAGTTTTCCGGGATTAAGGCTGAAATAAAACTATACTGGCAAAAGGGAGAGTTTTCTGATACAAGCTGTTTCTGCTAAAAGCATCAGTAGACTACAGAACACTATTGTGAATTCACAAAATTAATTACGAGGGTTTAAGTCATAAACCGAACTTGAGAAAAGAACTGCATACTACTGTATTTCACACACACACACAAACCAAACCATTCAAGTGGTTTCACAAATCAGCAGTATTTCTCACTAGGCTGTCCAGCCAAAATCTTGCCCTAAACTTATTTTGCATTTTCTTCATGCTTCACCTGATGTTTCACACAAACTTGTTGGACACTCCTACAGCTTCTCTCCAAAAAAGATTCTATTTAGAACTGCCTTCCTGGGGACAGGCTCCACTGCCCACCATACTAAACTGGGTGAGACATAAAAATACATCATCTCCACAGACTAATATTGTCAACTTCAAGGGCACTGCTTCTGAACAGTTTATTTCTTAATTACGTTATACTGCTCATTCTACTTATAACAAAATGAGAAACATCTTCTTGAAGTCTTTGCTACTGATTAATACAGATACAACTCTTTCTCCTATGATCTCCTTCTCTTTGTTTCTAAACACCCTAGAGTCATTGTAAGGTGTTGCCCAGCCAGGAGTATGACCCATCCTTTCAGAGGCCAGTCTCAAACTCATTCATGTTTGTAAAGAACACATTAGAGATAGCTGTGCTTCAACACTTTCACTAAATTTGTCTGAAAGTCTGTTCTGAAAGCTGTGTTCCTGTGGCACAATATTTATTAATTACACCTAAAAAAAATAAATTTAGAGTTCTCAAACTGATTGTTTATAATGCAGTATGTTACCTGGCAATCTAAAGACGAAATGATCAGCTACTACGTGGCAGTATCTCTTCCTTTGTATAAGAAGTCTAGCCATGAAGTAGACATAGTCAGCAGGAGTAGCTCCATGATAAAACACAATAAGCCCTGGTCCTTCAGGAATATTTTCAGCACCATGAAGCTCATAACCTGTCAGGAGTTAAAGGCACAACAGATGTCAAAGTCTGATACAATTCTATCCAAAGAAACTACCTTGTGGCAAGTTGGCAAACTGAAACCAATAGGTATTGAGAAGTTGTAGGAGCAAAGTGACTGCTAAAAAGTCAAGAGGTGACTTGCAGTATTTACTAAGTTGCTTTCACAGGAAACAGAAGTTTCATTAAAGCAAAAGAGTCACATTTAAGAAAGAAAAACAACGAAACACACACCCCGGAAACAAAACACCCAGTCTCACTGTCATGAGCTATATAATTTTTCCTTACTTTTTCAGTTCACTGTCTTCAAGGCTGCAGAAGGCTCTGAATCAATCATTCAAGATAAATCACAATAAGGACTGCACAGAAGTGGTGAAACAACTATTTCAAGCTGTTATTTACATTTCAAAGTTCATTGCCACCAGTAACTGTTGAAGAAGATTTGATATGACAACATCCATTTACATGTGTCCTTTTACTCCAGGGTATGAAGCTTATCTTTGTTATTTCTCTCAATTATACTTGCTCCATTTTCCCATCACTAACTACTAAAAGCTATTTGGACCTTTATATGCTTAATTCAAACATACATCAACACACACAAGTTTGCTACTGAACTTATATCTCTAATTAAGTTAACAGAGCAGAATATGTTCAGTTACAGAAAGTATCAAAACACATCAGTATAAAACATTTCAGTTAATATTGAGCAGTATTGTTACAGTAGCTTTTGTGTGGATTTTTTTTTTTTTTAAAGCAAACAAAAACCAACAAAAACCCAAACCCTGTCACTTCTTCCAAAGTTAGTCAGGTCTGCAATTCCTATACTATTAAATCCTGATTTAATTCTGAAGATACTCTTGGCTCTTCTCCCTCTATTTTACTTTTATAGCTGTGAAGCTGCAACATATTGGAAACATATCATCTGTACCATCCCAAGGGACCACTAACTGTGCTCCATGGCAGCCAGTCATAGCCAGAATGATACCTACATCTAGCATTTGCATAATATATGTAAAGTTACAGGTATCACACACCGGTTTTGGATTTTGGTCTTGGTGGTTTTGGTTGGGGGGTTGTTTTTTTGGTTTGGGGTTTTTTTTTCCAGTCCTGTGAGATTTCAGGATGACAAATTCTTCCCATGATATATTAATCAAGTGAGGGTAAAAAATAACCACAAAACATTTCATTCTTTAGCAAGAGAAGTCTATAGAGAACATAGAAGCAGCTGGCAGGACAGAAAAAAAGTCACAATGGTCAATAACAGACTGAATAAGAATCTTTTCTGCACAAATAAAAAGTTAGACCTTATAAAAAGTTACTGAGGATGAAAGAAGCCAAGGCCTTAAAAAAATCATTTTCTTATGAAAAAAAAGTAAATAGCTTTTTATTGTGAAGTGAGCATTTTAAGCTCTTTGATGTAGCTGTTGATTTTGATCTAGTGTACTTTCCTAGATTTGAAAGTTACATCTTAGTCTTACAAAGCCTATCTGATACAGCCGCTGCACCATCTGGTTATCAATGCCTTGAAAACCCGCTTCCCTTTGACTAGAGAACAAATAGAGATGATTTTCAAGACGGATTTGTTCTTTATGTAAATTGCTCTTAAACGTCTCTTTCTCCTTTAGCTGCATCTAGACAGAATGGTTCTGAAAGAGGCTTATGATTTCCTTAGAAAGTAAAGCCAAATCATTTATTAAGTCTGTCTTTATAAAAGAAATAAGAGTAAAAGGACAAGGAACAGAGCCCTTAGTTTTGACATTCAAGTAGCAAAAGTAGTTGTCAAAAATACACAGAAAATTTAAAAAGTAGGGTTCTGTAACACTTCTGGGCTCTAAAGTCAATTTGAAGTAGCAACAAGTGAGTGAACTGACACTAAGTGCTCCTTTCCGCCATCATTTGGCATTACATAAAAGACTGGTTAAGTGCAATTCAATTATGCTAACATGCTGACATACTAGCTATCAGGGAACTGGCATTTAACTTTCAGTGTTCATATATCGATGCTTAAATAATATAGTTAATTGATCTAATTTTTAACATAGGTCCTTCTGGAATGAGGAAACCCAAGAGTAGTTATAGAAAGTAAAAATAAGACAGAAATTAAACCATTTTTTAAAATTGCGTATATCATATATTCAACTGGATGAAAGATCTCATTTTGTAGCAGCAAAGGACTAAGTGTATAAGACACAAATTTTTACATCCAAAAAAAGTCTCAGTGGTTCTTTTTCCCTCCAAGCACCACTGGCAATCATTGATCAAACAGGAAAAAAAAAAATGGCCTGAATTTTAGATTCCATGCAACAGCAACAACAATCAGATATATATTGATAATTATGAAAGGTAAACCAGGAATAAGAGCTTCAACAGTTTTTAATGAGAGGTCAGATCTCACTTACCATGCCATATTCTTCCATGTCCATCCCATAGGGTAGCCAACATTTGTTTTGCACCATCCCAAAAATCATTGGAATAAGCTTCCTTTAGTTCATTCTTCCTTTTATAAATATGAAGAAGGAGAATGGAAACATAGAAGAGGATGACAATAACTCCCGGAAGTAGAAAAACTACTGCGAGTGGAAAAAGCACCCATAAAAGGTAGACTGCATAACTCAGATAATCTTCAATATGCTCCACGCCAGTCCATTCTCCCAGAATGTAAGTCAGGCAGGTTAAGTAGGACATAGGAATTGGTCCTGCAGTACAGGATTCATTTCCACCTATCATCTCCTGTTTAATTTAAAAATAAAGGCAGATGAATAAATCCCCAAAAAGGTAGACCTGCTTATACTGTTTAATCATACAAAAAAAAAAAACCCTTCTGATGCATTTTATTCATATACTGTTTACCCCACATCACAGCAGCAAAACGTTTACTTGATTTTTTCAGTCCTTTTCTTTCATGTAGTCAAAATGCTGACAGTTCTGATGAAGAAAGTTAGTGCAATTCCTTAATGTCAGGCTAAGATTTTATCTCATTAAAAACTGTTCAACTTATGCAGATCCAGAATATTTATACTGTTACCAATATCAATTTATACTGTATTTTCAATTTTCAGAAAGCTGTATGTATTAGTCTAATTTATTGTTCTATACAATACCCAGTACACTCAAAACCTTCTCCCAAGCACTTATTACAACAGGCAATAGCACAATCTCAACTTCAGTGGTATTAAAAAAAACTTAATGATCAATCCCACTATTCACAAGCATACAATGATTCAGCAAAAAGACGGTCTCAAATAAGCAAGTCTCACTCCTGTAGAGACCTTTAACTGTACCTGGAAATTTACAGATAGTGAAACACCAAGTTCCAGGGAGACAGCAGAAAGGACAAGGAAAAAAGATTGAAAAAAGTCTTCTAAAAGTTTTAGCTGATCTGGCTTTACTGTGTCTATATATAAGAATCTCTCTTCTCCAGTGCCAGCTCTTAAGAAGTTTCAGGGCTAGGAGATGATATTTCAGGCTTTCTATAAACTCTGGTGCAATGTTTTTTTCTTAGCTTTGTACGAATTAGGGAAAAACTTGCTATTCACTTCATCTTACAAACATGAGACAACAGGTATGCTTGGCTATCTTAGCTACAGTTCTAGAACAACATAAATAATACTTGGGGGGAAAGTTATCCTAGATTGGAATAAAGTTTTGGTCAAGGCTTGAAGCAGTTGTTAGTCAGGACCAAGAAGAAAAACATGTTGCAAGTATAATGTAGAGTTGTAGAGAGAAACAGATTAAGAACAATAATTTCTGAAAGACTCTAAGCTTGGGGTTTTGTCAGGTTTTTTTATTAAAATGTGACTTAAAGCATATATGATTGCAGAGTTCCTATGCCTAGACAGATACATGTTTCCTTTACTCCTCCTCTTGTTTTTACAAGCAACGAGTGAAATGCATAATATAATTTTGCTAATACTATCAGAACCCCAATAACAATGAAAACTACAAAGCAGATCAGTTCTACTCCACATTTGCTGAGATGTTGAAATGTGTACTAGAACAGAGATCATCTCACTTATTTCCTTTCCTCCCATTCTGATAAAGCAAGGATGTTCCTTTTCCTTTTGTTTTGAAATTGGTCTCTACCCACATTTCTCAAGATAACTCCTATCAACAAGAAGAAAGCTAATCTCATGACAAGGACTTTGCTCCCATGATCCATGCCTGTTCCACTAATTCAGGCTTACAACATTTTTCTCCTCGGCATGTTCTTGAGAGCAATGTGACAAGCAGCTCATTTCTCTTCACCAATGTATAAACACGTAGCATTAGTGACATGCACTTTACTGATTTCATGCATGTGTGTTTGGGATGCGAATTATAGGGAAAGGACAGAAGAAAGAGAGCACGTGTGGGAGAGCAAGAGAAAGCCCTTTCTCATTCCAGATACCAGAGCCGAACTCCAGAACCTGTCAGGCAGCAAACACCCACAGCAAGTACAAGAAACACAACTTGTGAGACCAAGTAGGATTTAGGAGTAGCATTCAACACTACCACTATTGTTACACCTGCATTTCTCCAGTAGTTTCACCTATTAGCTAGAGAACAATATGGTGCATCGGTTATGGCACATTTTTCAAATCTCAAGAGGTGATGACATAGCTTTAATAAAGATTACTGAAGTTATACTTTCCCACCTATTATATTTTCTATTATTTATGGCTTTCTCCAGACACAAAGTGCTCAAGTGAATTTAAAATCCTGTCCACAGGTCAGCCTTGCAAAGTATTCCTTGTATTTTTGCCTGTAATGTTAGATGTAATACCTCAGATGCAATTACTGTGGTTTTATAAATTTACTTGCATATCCATGCACTAACCTGTAATAGAAATTAAAATCTGACACCTTTGCTTCCAGCTGCAGAGCTTAACATCTAAAGCACTGCCTTCTCTTAGGAACAGTCAACTGTACTCTGAACAACGTTGTTTCCTCATCTTGAGGAGAATCACAGAATAATTTATATTGGCAAGACTCATTGGACAGCACTTGTACAACTCTTGCTAAGGAGTTAGATCAGGTTGCTCAGGGCTGTGTATTATCTCAGGGAGGTTTGTATTATCTACATGAATGGAGATCCCACTGCTTCTCTGGGGCCCCTAATCCTGTGCCTGACCACCCTTATGGTAAAAAAGTCTTACTGTACTTAGAATTCCCCTTGATGCAATTTGTGCTTGTTGCCTCCTCTGCCTTTGCTGAGAAGAGTCAGCCTCTCCCCTCTCTATAACCACTCATTAAGAGCAGCAATAAGATCCCTTTTAAGCCCTCCCTTCTTCAGGCTAAACACACACAGCTCCCTTCGCCTGTCCACACACTCCATATGCTCCAGCCACCCAACAATGCCAGTGGTCCTTCTCTGAACCCCTTCCAGTACACTGGCATCTTTTTTGTGTTGTGGGGCTCTAAACTGGACTTGTAGTCTCAAAAGTGCTGAAAAGAGGGTAACAAATACCTCCACAATTTAAGGGCTAAGGCTTTGCTAACATAGCCCAAAATGCAGACAGCCATCCTCACTCATACTTGATATCCACCAGATCAAGGCCTTCTCCAGGCCTTGATCTCCTGTAATTTTGCTCCCCCTGTAACAAGTCCAGTATTTGTTCTGATCACACATGGTACATCCACAAAAATAGTCTTGTATCCAAGCCCAAGTGTGATTTACATTACCATCACAGTGAACACGCTGCCAAAGGCAATGGCAGTGAAGAAGGGAAGACAGATTCTGTCTCCGTGATCAAAAAAGCACAGGATGCTCCACACTAAATAAAGGTCCAACATAGTTCATATATGCTACTAATGGATAATGTAATTTTGGTCTGATCCAACTTTAGAGCTGACTGTTCTATAACTGCCCAGAGCAGTTAAAATTACAAGATAAAGCACACTGTATTCTAGAAACACCAGCTATGTCACTCTGGACCCCATTCAAACAAAGACTATCCTGCCCTCCTTATCAGAGGTTTTCTGACATCTGCCACCATCCAAACCTAAAAACTACAATGGGGTAGAGAACTAAGTCTTACCCTTAACCAACTTACACACTGAATCGCTCTGCAATATGAGCATACCTTTAAAGGACTTCTTATTTCAACCAACATCACCAACACATTTCCTGTTGTGCAGTTCAAACTCAGTATTTTTAATTTGTCTGACTTCCTAATAGAGCACCTTATATATATTTTCACTAGATGAAAGAGATGCAATTTCTCATTTGACTAATGACAGTGTACGCTGACTTATGCTTATGCGTAAGGCTTTATGTTGACAGTGAAATGGAAACAAGGTTAACATACAATTCCTTTCACTGAGTTCTAGCATATGACCCAGAAAAGTCCTTAGCTAAACTACAACAGTGGTCTTCAGCTGTAGTCAGCAGAGACAGGGTTCACCGAGACCCTATTGATCATGCTGGAAGAAGCAATTATGGAAAGCAACTTACAGCGCTGTAAGCCACACACAGCATGATTTCAGCATGTATATGAAATGTGTAAGTGGAACCTCTGGAGAACACACCAGTATCTCCACAAATACTAGAGAACAACAGCCACAACATGCCCCTGCCAGCAGAAATACACCACTTTACGCTGCATCACTCAGTTATGGGGATTATTTCTAACAGAATTAGCAATGCCACCACAAACACGATAAAACCAAAACAAAATAAAACCAAAAAAAAACCACCACAGAAGGCTCTGATAGTCCTGCTAATGGCATCTGCAACCGGAGAGATCCTACAAGCCAGAGAGTGTTTTCGTCCATGTTTTAAACCAAGAACTGGCCTACTTCTTGCTTCCATGACAGCAGGACAGTGCATCCTTCTGCAGGCGGCTGGAGGCGGGTCGAGCTTCTTCCCTCTGAGGAGAGGGACGCAAGCCCAGCCCGGCTGCCCCAGGGACGCTCCCCGCGGCCTCCCCGCCTCCCGCGGCGGCCCTCGCACCGTCCCGCACCGCGCCCCGGCCGCAGTCCCTGTCCCGACAGTAACTACAGCAAAGCCCCAAGCTCGGGGTAGCCGACAGGAGCCGCCTCCCGCCCCGGGAACTACGGGGCCGCGGCGGGGTCCAGGTG